TCCCTGCTGCTGTGGGTGGTGTGTGTCTTTTTTTTTTTTTTTTTTTTTTTTTTTTTTTTTTTTTTTTTTTTTTTCTGTTGTGGTGTTTGGGGTTTTTTTTTTGTGTTGGATTTGGTTTTGGGTTTGTGCTTTTTTTTTTTTTTTCAAGAGAGATTAAGCCAAATTAGTTTTTATCTGTTTCTGCAGTTTTCCGCTGGGATTCAGTGAAGCACCAGTGCCTGAGAACAGAAAAACGATAAACATCTAAACGCAGACACTCTGAGTACTGTTTTATCTCTGCCATTTGAAGTGATGACACCCTTCAACCAGATAAACAAAGCAACGAGGAGGGGCATGTTGTTAGATGGAGTGTGTAACGAACAGAATACTCCCTGCCACATTACAGACAATGGTAATGCACAATCATTCATTATAACTCAATTACAGTAATTAAAACTGGTGGGATGCAGAGGCAGAACAGACGAAGGGAGTAGTGCCAACAGAATTTACACTCCGTGTCATCAGCTAGCGATAACAACAGCTGATGGTGTCCCAGAGCCTCCTCCCGCCATCTGCTCCGAGAGCCGGCGACGAGGGATGGCACGAGGTGCCGCGGCAGCCGGGCGGAGGGCGGCTGGGGAGGGGGGAGGAAAGGGCTCTCGGCCCTCCCCGGCTGCCATGGGTGCTGTGCTGCAGGGGGGTGCTGCCCCTTGCACCCCAAAGGGTGAGCTGCCGCTGTGCCAAAGCAGGCACAGAGCCCGGGAAAGCGAGGGGGAAGGGGCCGCCTCGTTATCCTGCTCCCTGCAGCGCAAACTGCACGACTGCCTGGCTGGGGGGGCAGCCTGCAGCGGGCTGCTTTGCTCCTGGGGTGGGCACAGCACGGCACGGCATGGCATGGTTTAGCATGGCATTGCGTGGCATGGCATGGCATGCCATGGCACAGCACAACACAGCATGGATTAGCGCGGCATGGCATGGCACAGCATAATATTGCATAGCATGGCATGGCATAGCACGGTATGGCACAGTGTGGCTGAGTGTGGCGTAGCATGGCATGGCATGGCATGGCATGGCTTAGCATGGCACGGAAGAGCACTGCATGGCACGGCGCGGTTCTGCTACTCCAGCAGCATTGCCCAGTGCTGCTGTTTAGGGCCAAGACAAAGCTGGGGCAAAGCTGAATGGCCAGGGCCCCTTGGAGCAGACGTTCCAGGGGGTCCCTGTCTGCCTTCCCCGCTTGCCCAGAGCAGGGGACACATGTGATACACGTGCACCCCCCACCCCCCCAGCTGCGCAGGAGCCCCGCAGCAGTGCTGCCAGAGCCCTGGGTGCAGGGGGTGCATCAGGACCACCGGCACGGCAAAGCCTGAGCCCCCATCCTGCCCCTCCATCCGTTTGGTGTTTATGTCACGGCAAGATCCCAAACTCATCACCAGCACCTGCCCGCAGTAATTTGATAAATATTGGTTAACCAAAGCACAATTTGGACCAACTGCCACCCCAGAGAGCTGGGACGGGGAAGCAGTGCTCAGCCATAGACAGCTGCTGGAGGGGTAACAGCTACAGGGTGCACCCAAAAGGGTGACAATGGCTACAGGGTGCACTCAAAATGGTAAAAATGTCTATGGGGTGCACCCAAAAAGGTAAGAGCTGTGGGGTACACCTGAAGGAGTAACGGCTCAGATCTGATGCTCAGCAGCTGCTGGGATCAAATATCTCACGTGCCCCCATGTGAGCTCTTCCTTTGCAGGAGCCCGATGCTGGTGGTAAGGAAATCACTAATGAAAAGTGGGTAAAGCAGCCCAAAAGGCGCCATTTGCTGGGAATGCCAGGCCATGGCCCACCTGCAGCATGGCGCAGCCTCAGGGTGGGCGAGCACAGGGAGGAATCCTGGTGCCCTGCTGTGACTCCCACCCTGTTTGCCAGCCCTGATGTGTCACAGCAGCATCGGCCAAGGCTGAACTAAAAACGTGTTAAAAAAGAGCACTGTTATAAATATATAATTTAAAAAAATTAGTGCGTGAGGCTAGGAATTAATTATAAAGTTCGGGCTTTCGGCGCTTGGCTGATAGCATAAATGGGAATGGGAGAGACTGTGTGCAGCTTTAACACCTCCTCCGTCAGCACTTTCAGAGAGGTTGTAGTCAAACCAAATTAATTGCAAAGGGCAACAGTTTGCTGGGAACTGTTGAAAGCAGAAGCCGCAGTGGCTCGGGTGCCCGAAGGGGCAGCGCCGGGGGCTGCCGGCGGGGGGGGGATGCCAAGCCCCATCAAACCCTCCCACTCCCCTGCACCAGGCTCTCCAAAATCTTACAACAAAGGATTTCTTGCAATTTTTATCTTTTAATGGTCCCCTGTGTAAGCCCTCATTCCATCCAGCTTAAAATCAGATTTAAATGCACTCATAACCATTTACCACTGTACATTATCGGGAAACCAAGCAGTTAGAGTGCTGCTCCTGCTTTTTATTTCTCCCTCGCAGCAGGCTCTGTCATGTTCAATACATCATGGGGAAGCCCCCGTAGGATGGTACAGATGTCCTAGTTCAAGGAAAGTGCTTTGTCTCTGTCAGGGGCACCCGGGCCGAGAGCGCAGGAACGTGGGTGCTCATGGCCCCGGGGGCTTGGAGCTGCCCCACCCCATCCCTGAGCCCCAGCACCCTGCCTCAGCATCACCCCTGGGTGCAGGGTCACCTGCTCCCAGCCCTTGCTCCCCATCCCCAAGTCCTCACAGCAGAAAAAAAGGTGATGCTTTTGGGAAGAAAAAAATAAATTATGGGGTTTGGGGTTCTCTGGGGGCTCACTCACCCCAAGGGGGGATGTCTAGGGATCCCAGGTGAGAGGACACAGACAGTACCCCCCAAAATCACAAGCAGGGGAGAAGCTGGTGGTTGCAGGCGGCTGCTCCCCTCAGTCCTGCCCTCTCCTCATCCTCCGGGCAACCTCCACCGCCATCCCCAGGGGTACAGAAGTCCCTGGGAGGGGGGTCCTGAGCCCCCCGGCCCCACTGCACGGGAACAAGGGCCCCACGCTTGCTTTGATTAACAACTCAGTGCAGGTTTTCAGAGATCAAATGGTTTATAGACACTTTGCTTTCATTTGAGCTTCATTACATTTACTTTTTATTCTTTTTTTTTCTCTTTTTCTCCCTTTTTTACAAAAAACAGTTGTAGTTATTAACAGCTGTACATATTCTGCTACATACTTTGGTGTAAAGTTGAGAAGTCTGACTCAGTAACCCTCTGCCAGCTCCAGTACATGCAGTTCCTTTATTTTTTTTCTGTTTTTTTGGAGGAAAACGAAGCACCAACTTGCAAACCAGTGACCATGCGGGGTGCAAGCTGGGGGCGACCTTACTGCTGGAGGAGTTTGCCATGGGGGGCAGTTCAAGGCCCCCCCAGCCCTTTCCAACACCTCCCACCCATCAAGTCAAAGAGGGGGGATGCTCCAAGCACCACGGGCTTAGACACTGCGCCCAGGTTTGGGGGTGCAGGGGGATGGGCAGAGCCAACCCTGCACAGATCAGGGACTGAGCATGAGCCCCAAAACACACACGGGGCATCACTGAACCCCTAAGTAGGCGCCAGCGTGGGGTTGTCAGCACAGGGGGGGCATTTTTACAATCATGTTTTTGAGCCAAACTGTCCTTAAAAGCACTTTCCCTAAATGCAGTTTGAAGGAGCTTTTCCCTTCACTGGGTAATGAGTGCACAAGATCGATCCCTTCTCCCCCCACCCCAGCCAAGGCAGCAGGCACTGAGCACTAACACCCCGCACAGAGCGGAGACTGCTGGCCCAAGACATTCCCCTTGTTTTCCTTTTGAACAGAAAAGGGCCAAAAAATCTCAAACCCCTCCTACTTTGATGGGGAAAAAAAAATTTGAAAATTTCCCAGATGTCCTTCCAACCCCAATTTGTCTCTCCCCACCCCAGAGTGGCTGCTCAGAGGGAGGCAACGCCAACCGCGTGCCCCTGACCAGCCGGTACCGACCGCCTCCGCTTCATCCTCCTCTCCCCCACCTGTACTATCCACATATGTAAACCAGGCGGTTCTCATCTGAACCCTAAGCATTATTATTATTTTTGACCAGATTAAAATCAAAAATTAAAAAATAATCCATAAAAATGTAGTATAAAAATTCTCTTCCATATGCTACAATACAGGGTGAGCGCTTCTGCTACACAAATACTTTTATTTCCTGTTGGGGGGGTGTTTGTTGGGTTTTTTTTGTTTTTGTTTTACCCTTTAGTACAAAATGCTGAAACGCAGGCCTGTGCGGGGAGGGGGTTTTCTTCATCGGAACCTATATACCAGAAGACACAAGACCATACAGCCCACAGGACCCTACCAAAGCCAGCCCCTTCCCCCCACCACACACAAACCCTACTTGTTAGTAAACTTTGCTTTTAAAAAAACTGTATTTTAAAGGTTATCAATTCTAATTCTTTACTTTCATTTGAATACAAAACACATAAGTTGCTATTATCTTTCGTGGCTCCCTGAGCTGAATTTACTATGCTTTCTTTGAAATCACTCCTCATTGCTTCTGTCCGAAGACCAAGAAGGGCTTGCGCAGACGATCCCGCAGCGTGGGCTTCCCCTTTTCTTCAAACATACAAGCACAAAAAAATCCATATATAAAAAAAGGTGATTGTGTTGCTGATGTCCCGTCAGTAGCTGAGGATCCGATCGAGTCCCCCGCGGTCCCAGCAGCGTCCCACCATCACTAACACACCGAACAACGCACGGGTACGACAGTAGGAACAACTTTCACCAGTGGACATCTTTGCTCAGCCTGGTTACGCGCTGCACGGCAAAGTCACGTCCCAACGGACGCTTTGGGGGTTGGGGGGGGGTTTAAGGAAAAAAAAAAAATAAAAAATTGCCACCACCAAAACCATCAGTGGAATACAATTACAGCAGACAAAAAATACACAACTAGTGTACCGGGAGGGGTCCCCCACCC